TAATACCTATGTTTCAGTATTCGACAGAGTCCAATGAGAAGGAGGAGATAGACTATAAAACTCACCTCTCCGAATAACAGATATATGTTTGCTACTGTATGCAAAAAATTATCCTCAGTAGTAGAATATAGTGCAAACAAGAGAGACTTGTATAATTTCCTGTTTCACAATAACTCATATAAGAAAATGTCTATTGTGTTAGAGAGATATTATAGGGGGTAAAACATTGTCTCAAATGACACCAACCTCAGTTACAACTCCTTTATCACCTATGATCCCCTGCTCACCAGGAGCCATTCCCAAGCACAGAGCTAGAAATATGGCTGAAACAATATTTTGCATTTCCTCCTGACCACTTCTCCCAAGAAAAGTAGCACTGTAGCACTGTCCTCCCGTTGTTCATCGATTTGCTTGAGCAGGCACCAGTAACGTCTCCATTGTGAGACTTGTTGTTACTGTTTTTGGCATATCAAATATTCCATGCTGGGTGGGCGGGATACTCTCGGTAGCTTCCCTGGATCTGCGAGAGGGATGGAAGAATCTAACCTAGGTTGGCAGTATGCAAGGCAAACATCCTACCCCCTGTGCTATCGTTCCACCCCTAAGTAAAACAAGACAAAGAAATCATCCACTTAAAGTAAAGTAAGATTACTACTCGTATACAGTTCTATATAGCAGCACAAATGGAGTTTGCATAACATAATTTTAAGTTTCAATTTAATTATCAGTCTTTCTATAAGAAATCCAAACATTTGGAGAAGGAATGATTATTCCTGCAACTTATTTGTAAGGATATTTAATATGTCTACCAATAATTCTCCATAAAATAAATGTATTAACTGTTGGTTATTATAACTACAATGTACTCATTCATTATTTAGTCTAATGTATAGAGTTAATCCACCCTCACATATTCCTCAGCATGGGATGTCTTTCTCCACAGTTTGATTCCATGTGAAACTCTTTTCTGATATTTTGTTTGCTTTTCTAAGTTATACAATTCTAAATAATGTAATGATAAGAAGTATAAAGTAATATATATTTTAAAAGTGTCTTTAGCTGTTATAAAATGAATGAAATATATAATTTGTTAGTAAAGAACAAAGTATGCAGAAAATGAATGGGCAGAAACACAGCTGTTGCAATGAAAACTAGAAGGAAAAGGATGTTCTCTGCATTTAGATTCATTGCAGAAAATTCCTGTTTTAGCTGAAATATGCATTTTAGTTAAATAAACAGTAATCTATGTTTAGAATATGAATCCGCTAACTAAATATCTTAATGAAGAAAAAACAAAAATAATTAGAACACATAGAACCAGAGTCCTAAATTAATCATCCCCTCCCTAAGTAATTTGTTTTTTTTTTTTGAAAAAAGGAACCAATTTTAAAATATGCTGATTACTGAGTTTCTAACATAAAACACTTCCAGACAAACTCCATGGAATCAGTAATGATTTGTCTCATATTTTGCACCTTCTGTAACCCAATTAATATATTTACACAAAGACAAGTCATATTGGCTTGATGGCCTAGGGATAGTAAATCATTTTGTGCAACTTACCACCCAGCATCCTGTGAAAATTTAATGTAATAATCTTGAGGACCAGATTTTCTGTAAATGAAAATTACAAAGGTGTACTACTTAGTATACCCAACAATTAGCCTATTATTAAAAATTTAATGATAAGCTTGCAGTTCTAAATTTGTCTTGGAAAAATTTAATTAAGTGCTAGAATAGCTAACAATATAAATAATATATTATTTAGTGTACATGAGTTTCCAATAGATAGCTTTTTGTTTTGCTCTTATTTGTTCATTGAATCACTGTGAGATACATTACAAATCTTTCATGTTTGAGTTTCAGTCATACAATGATCAAACAACAATCCCTTCATTAGTGCACATTTTCCTCCACCAAAATCTCCAATATCTCCCCCATCCCAATCCTTCCCCTACCTGTATGGCAGACAGTTTCCATAATACTCTCTCTCTGCTTTAATTACATTCAATATTTTGACCCCAGTCCCACCATTATTACTTGGAATTTTCTCACCACCAGTCAAACCTGCCGCACAATTTCTATTGTATCACTTTTTATGAATAGCATAAGGCTGCACACTCCTGGAATTCTAAAATTTCAGATAATTGGACCTGGAGAGATCTCTGCAGCGAGCTGCTGGTTCTGAGATTATTTTGTGTGTCTCTGGATCACGGTCATTAAGGAGCTTAAGTAGTAGACAGAAGCAGTTGGTGGGTGTCATCTCAAGGTCCCATTGGGACAGAGGGATGAGAAGAGTGGCCCATATCCCATCCCGTGAGGCCTGACATTTGCCATTACTGCTCCTGTGGACCTGGGTTTCTCACTGGGTTCTGGAAGATGGCAGCCGCTGGAATTTCTCTGGGGCAGGCGAGAGGACAACACCTGCTCCCATCTGGAGCATCCCAGTGAAATCAGTCTATTGCAAAGTCCAGAGGCATCTCTGCAGCGAGCTGCTTGGTTCCAAGATTATTTTTTGTGTGTTGTTTTGGTTCGCTTTGTTTTGTTTTGTGTTGTTTTGTTTTGTGGCCACACCAGGTGATGCCTAGTGGTTATTCCTGACTCTGTTCTCAGGAATTACTCCTGGAGGTGCTTTAGAGACCATATGAGATGCTGGTGGTCCAACCTGGTCTGCTGCCTGAAAGGTAAATGTCCTAACCCATGTACTACTGCTCCAGACCCACCAATTGATATAATAGATAGTTTTGAACAAACAGATATAAAGTTGAAAGAGTATGAACAACTGAGATTAAGAAAAGTCATACTTCAGTATGAAGAACTAAGAACGTAAAATTTAAAGTCATTATTTTGACGTTTGAGATGCTAGCTTCAACTATTTTAGTTAAATCATTCGTAATGGTCTTTTTTATTTTTGAGTAAGTATTGGATATACCTGGTGGTACTCAAGACCTAGTTCTGGCTCTAGCTAAGACCTCAGCAGTTGGATTATACTTTAAGCTATGGTGCCGTGCACCCCCGGGAAGCAAAGGGTGTCTTTCTCTTCCTCCATTACCCCCCCCCCCCCCACCGGCAGCATGGTGGCCGCTGCCTCAGAGCTTATTGGACAGCCAGATATGAGCTGGTGGTGACAGGGCAACTGCAGCCTCATGGGATGGGGCAGAAACGGCACATCCTTCTTGCCCTGCTGAGACCACGAGTTGCCCCCCGCGAGTGGCTCTCCGGCATGGCCATGGACCCAGATGCACACAAACCAATCTCAGAATTATTTGGCTTTTGGTAGTAATCCCTCCAGACTTAATTGGTCTGTGAAATATCATATGGTCTTCATAACCATCAATAGAAAACAAATTATTTCATGATGCCTTTTCAGCAGGTTTGATCGTTGGAGGAAAATTCCAAATAATAATGGTGCATCTTTTATTGAAATAATGAATGTAATCAAGAGAGATACTAAAGTGGAAATCATCTGCCTACAGTCACGGGGAGGTGTGGCATGGAGGGTATATTGGGCTTTTTGGTGGTGATAAATATGTACTGGTGAAGGGATGGGTGTTTGATCATTGTATGACCGAGACTTAAACATGAAATCTTTGTAACTGTTCTCACGGTTATTCAATTGAAAAAAGAAGACTTCAGCAGTGCTAGGAGGGACCATTAGAGGTAACAGGAAGCAAAATTGGGAGTGATGCATGCAAAGAAAGTGCCTAACCTCTTGTACTATCTCTCCAGACCCCCAATCTTCAGGGTCTATTGTATCTTTCTTGTGGGTATGTGTAGGGGGGGAGGTGGGATATCAGTCTTGGGTTGTTCAAGAGCTAATTATAGCTCTGTGTTTGCTAGTTTTTCCCATTAGTGTTTTGAGTATTGAATCAAGATCTCCAGCAGTCAAAAAACCATGCAAACATCTATTTAAACTATCCTTCTGCCCCTCAATTAAATATTTTAACATGTTAGAACAATATATTATCTCAATAATGCAGATAGCATTTAAGGAACATCAAGAACCAATGAAACTTATGGAAATTGATTTCTAAGACTCCATTTTTTGTATAATTTAAGTAGTATTTATATCATATTAATATTAAAATGTTACAACACATAAAAGAAAGCAAGCACCTGTCATTCAAGCAATACATTGCCATTATTTGCAAGTGACTTACGATACAGTTAGGATATTATCTACATGTTTATTTTCAATATTTATTAAGTATGCTTTTCCTTGCAAAAGCAGCGAACTTTAAAATGACTATAGCTGCGATTTGGAGGTTTCCTCTTCATTAGATTGAGGAGGCAACATGGCGCCAATGCCGGTTGAAACCCTTGTGCACTCCTGAACCCGGCTCACAATCTTGCTCTGGATGTCGCGACTCAGAATGCTGGGCATGGAGTTCCACGTGTAATCACTGTTGGAACTCTGGGCATGATTTCTGGTGGACATCACCAGCTGCTTTGCAGGATTAAGACAGAATGGCATCGGTGGGGTGAGGAAGAACCAAGGCAGCGGCCTCAGCATCTCTGCCACCTCCCACTGGGCCAGGTCACAACACCATCGAGCATGGAACAGCAACAGTAACCCGCAAAATGACTTGTCCGCTGCAGGGCACTGTCCAGCCACCGAGTGACTTGGGACTCCACGCAGGTGTTCCATCTGGCGCAGACCCCATGAGATGGGATCTTCCTCTGCCAGCTATTCAATAACCTCCACTGTTGTGAGTGTACAAATTGTTACAGCAGGCCGGTCACCAGGAGCTTACATTCAGTAGACTGGGAACACCTGCAGAGATGATTAGAGATCGCCCCAAAAATCTCCATCTCCCCCCTGGAGAGCCCGGCAAGCTACTGAAGGTATCCAGCCCACACAGCCTGGCAAGCCACCCGTGACATACCAAATATGACAACAACAGTAGCTAAAATGGGTCTCACTTCCCTATCCCTGAAGGAGTCTCCAGCTGTGTTAGGAAGAACGAGAGGGCTTGTACTAAGCATATGGTGCGGAGTCAATGGGAGGGAAGGCGCCTCGCAAGCAGCTGGCCACCAAGGTGGCCCACAAGAGCACGCCAGCTACGGGTGGCGTGAAGAAGCCGCACCATTACCGGCCCAGCACGGTGGCACTACTCGAGATCTTCCAGCTGCAGTTCCACTGGCTGGTGAGCGAGATCATGCAGGACTTCAAGACCAACCTGTGCTCCCAGAGCTCAGCCATCATGGCACAGCAGGAGGCGTGAGAGGTCTACTTGGTGGGACTCTTTGAGGACACCAACCTCTGTGCATTCCACATCAGGTGCATCACCATTATGTCCAAGTACATCCAGCTGGCTTGCCGCATCCTCGGAAAGAGAGCACAAAGTTTATGATGCAAAAATCTCAGGGCTGGGACAAATGGAGATGCTACTGGCACCCACTCACGTAATCGATGATTAACGGGATAACAGTGACAGTGATTTATTAAGTATATTTGTATTTTTCTAATTATCCACTAAACATAGCTAATTTCTTATTTAGCTTATCCTATCTGAAAATCAAGATACTAGTAGCAACAACCAATATAGTTGACTTTGAACAACAGAAAGTTAATTTATAAAATTAGGCTAATAAAATTCATTGGAAATCTAGAGACCTGAACTCAGAGTATAAGCAGAAGCTAGTCTTCATTTTTCAGTAATCATAATTCGTATAAATTATATCAACCTACTCACTGAGTCTGAAATATATATCCTTTTAAAAACGTTTTAGAGCTTTAGGAATCACTGAAGAAATTTATAGAATAGGAGAGTTTTGAGGAGTAGAAATAATAAAATAGGGACATCTACAGATATGGAAGAAAACAGATGACATGCACTGGAAGTGATCTCAAGAGACGCAACAAAAAAAATAGAAGACCTCACAAAAGTCAGACCCTGCTATATTAGTTTTGTATTGCCATATAGAAAAATTTCAAATAAATTGGCTTCAAACAAACTTCTTTTGGGTGATAGAAAATTAGCTCAATTAGTAAAGCTAACGTTCTGGATGCAGGAAACTTGGAGGCTTTGGTTTAATCTCAGCACTTCCAGAAGTGACCCCAGAGCACAAGAGCTAGAAGAGGCTTCATGCACTTCCGGGTGTGAAGCAACCTATCCCCTAACTTTCATTAAAGTAACTTAACATTATAACATTGTAAAATTTTCAAGTATGCTTCATTAAATCTGAAAATTTATTTATACTATTTTGAGTAAACTTCTAAAAGTCCTGTTTTTGAGTAAACTTCTAAAAGTTCTGTTTTATGTGTCACCAATTAATCTTTTTGACTGTTGTAACCATCCTTCCTTTTCTCTTTCCTTTTGATAACCACTAATTGGTTAACAATAAAGACATTTTGAGTCTCTAGTTTCAGGAAAGGTCTGATTTTTTTTTTTAAGTTTCAGCTGATTAAGCCTGGTCCATCCTGGCCAGTCTTTCTTCTGATGTATTCAAGGTCATTTTTGATTACGGTGATTAGTGACATCTGCACAATGTCTTCACCTTGCCAAATTCCTATTGCTTATAAGAAAGCCACAATATCTCTCCACATCCAAGAGGAGGGATGACGCCATGACTGAATACTATGGATTGGATACTGAGATGACTAGGGAAGTCATCTTAGAATCCTTCCTACTTATGGAAATTCTGATTAATTTTATTGCACACTATTCCACCAAACTAAATAGTTGTATAAGGAAGTGAAAGTGGATTTGATAAAGACTTAAAACTTTCAGCCAAATATTATATCAACAAGTTAATCTAGGATATTTCAGGATTAATAATAATAGCACTGTCCTCCCGTTGTTCATCGATTTGCTCAAGTGGGCACCAGTAATGTATCCATTGTGAGATCTGTTGTTACTGTTTTTTGCATATCAAATATGCCACGGGGAGCTTGTCAGGCTCTGCCATGTGGGACGGATACTCTCAGTAGCTTATGAGGCTCTCTGAGAGGGGCGGAGGAATTGAATCTGGGTCGGCCGCATGCAAGGCAAATGCCCTACCTGCTGTGCTTTTGCTCCAGCCCAATATGGATTAATATGTGCTGGAATCAGTACCACCAATTCTCTAAAACTCCACTCTTGGATATATATCTTTGACAAATGCTTACAAATATATAGTAGAAGACATTGTTCTAATGGTATCAGCAGTGTTGTTTTTAAAGGTCCTAGTTCCAAATTACTAAATGCTCATCAACACCAGAATAAGTACATATGTTGTAATATTTTATACTATGGTTAATTTTAATCAGTATTGATAAATGAAGTATAACTATTAATAAAATCTGATAATTCTTATAAACATGTAAGAATGTCTCAAAGATGTTTCAAAAGGGAACAAAATAGTAGGAATTCATGCCATTTGGGGAAGAGAATGGGGATATGAATCAAATGGTAGAGCACATGTGATAAAATTAGGTTGATTGCAGTTGCTATGTGACCTCCATAGCATTTCCTGATCTGAATGCTGCTGAGTGTGGCCCCTATTTTTTAAAAAAAGATCAAGTTAGACTATATTTTTATAATATTCATAATAGCACTATACAGATCAAGCAATTGCTTGCTCCCAAAGTCAAAAAAGTATTATTTCTGCAATGGAAACATCTAATTGTGAAGTTTACATTAGTAGTCTCTGTAGTTCTGTCTGTATTGTATTTTTTATTTGGCCCTTTTGTAAGGTGACAGCTTTTAAATAAGTCAAGGTTATGTTTTTCTCTCATTATATGTATTTATAAAAATATAAAAACACCGATAACATATAAAACAAATGAGTCTAAGAAAAGTAAGACAATAAATAGCATGTCAAATTCTCAGCATTAATATTTTTTAAAAGATGTGTGGGTGATTTTATCATATATTCAGTGTGGAGAAGCTAGGGTAAGAAAAAAAGATCTTAAGCAGAATGCCTGACATATACATTAATGCTAGTTTACATGAGTTTTGATGCATGATTGATGATTATTCTTGTCTATCTCTATGCACATTAGTACTTAAATCAGTCATAAAAAATTTGCTATAATTCGTTAATATCACAAGTAAAGTGAAATATATAATTGAAAATATGCATTTAAATATGCTGTAGATAAAATAGTTATGGGAACATTATGATAAAATATTTCTGGTGCATGCATAATTTATGATTCAACACTACAAATATATAACTACATTTTAAAATCATTGAAGTAGAAATTTTGTGGTAAAATATGAGAATTTTTGATTTTTCAGAATCATGATTACTAAAGAAACTACCAACTTTGTAAATGAATCTTTGCAATACTCACTTAAATTGCACTAAACTTTTAAAAATATAGCAGTTTTTGACATGTTGAACGATATAGTATAATTACTGATAATGGATTTCTGTAATTAAGATGTGACCATTTTTACTAGATTGCTTTATTCTTGTACTGTTACTGTTTTTAGGAATGCATGAAATGAAAGTCACAGGAAATCTTCAGAACTCTCAGGTGTTTTTTTTCTCTTCTTCTTTTTAAAGAATTGTCTAACTATAGAAATGCACATCAGTCTGACGAAGTTGATTCTTATGAATAGACACACAAAAGTAAGTTCTGTGGAGGTTATGAAGGAAAACAAGCTGATGATTAATGGGAGAAGTTGGTTGGTTCAGCACCACAGAACTTCTCAGAAACTAAAGAGACTTTCATTCAGTGAGGTCAATAATTTACAAAGAAAGTGAATGGCAAGTTAGAAGTGAAAGATTTGATCACAAAGGTAAAAAGACTAGAAGTGACTGAAAAATTACTGCAGTCAAAATAGAAATTGGAATATGCAATGAATATTATACCATAAACTTCACTCCAGTGGGGGAAAAATATCTCTAGAAAATTAAATCTCCATTGCAGCTATCAGAGAGACTGATACCTTGATAACACATGCTTTATTTCAAACATATTCTTATGAAGACAAAAAAAAACACACTAATAGTGGCAGGGTGGGGGATAACTCCACAATTTATATACCATATATAAAGTGACAGTGACAATGATAGTGATAGGGTGGAAGAGGTGGATTTTACAAGCTTTAAAACATAGATATTGCAAGTATTCATTTGGTGGAAGTCATCAACTTAATTTTTTAAAGATCAATCACTGTCACTGTCACTGTCCTCCTGTTGTTCATGGATTTGCTCAAGCGGGTCCAATAACGTATCCATTGTGACACTTGTTACTGCGTTTGGCATATCAAATACATCATGAGGAACTTGCTAGGCTTTCTCGCACGGGTGAGATACTCTCGGTAACTTGCCAGGCTCTCCAAGAGGGGCGGAGGAATCGAACCTGTTTCGGCCAGGTTGGCCACATGCAAGGCAAACAAACAAACAAATAAACAGAAAAACAAATAACAATAAAATTCTGTTTAGAGAATTAAAAGGGATGCCCCAATGGTTTGGAGTGCATTTTTGCATGCTGGGCCCCTAGCTTCATCCCCAGAAAAGCTTCAAGTAATTCCCCAAACAACTAACTTCAGAGCGCGATCACCATCCACTTCCTGTAACTAAATCTTAAATGCTTTATCAGGGCCCAGGGAGAAATCAGCCTGCTGATTATATTTTTCGTGATGGAGTCCTGAGTTTGATGCCCCCAGAACTACATGGTGCCTGGAACTCCTGGATCTTTCAAAGAAACACCACCACCACCATCCCCACAACCCTGAGCCAAGAATAGCCCCTAAGCACTGCAGAGTGTGGCCCTAATAACTGAATAAGTAAATACATATTACAGAATACTCTTTACATTCTGTAAAGATCAATATGTCCATAAAATGTTTCTTTATTATTAAAGAAATTTCTCCTACTTATTAAAATAAATGTCTATTCTGTTTCCTCAGACAGATGAAAATTATTGACCAATGAATCATTTTATCTCTTTAAGTGATGTGTATTATTGGAAACACATATTCATAGATATTATCTTTCCAAATCAATAATATATATCTGGGAGATATATATTGAATTTTCTTCACTACAAATTTTCAAACAATTAAAGCAACACTATAGTGCTTAAATACTCATTAAGAAGTAATTTGCTGTGCAAGCATCCAAGCATGAGAACTTATGTTACACTATTTGGGTTTTTATGTTTACTTTGAGACCATTCTCTGAGGGACTCAGGGCTCACTCCTGGCTCTGTGCTCAAGAATCACTCCTTGATGTGCTTCGGATACTATATCGAGCATGTCTGACAATAGCAGGGATTTGGAAACAA